AGCAGTTCAGCTGGGCACTTCAAGGGAGGAAATTAATACTTTCTGTGTGGCTGCCCAGACTCCGTGGGCTGCCCTGCATGCCACACTCGGCTGCAAAGCCAGAAACCCCATCTCACGCTGTCAAGCAGGATATTACACAAACTAAGGTCTCCATTCTGCACTGGCTAGGACACCTCCCTCGAGCTATATGGCTCCAGGCGAAATTACCTTGAAGGTACTCCAGCTACACTGTGTGCTGTCACACCCCTCCCGACCTACCTCCCATGACATGCTCATGCAATTGCAACCACAGCCCTTCTGGGGCCAGAGGACTTCTAGATCTACCCTCAGCGTAGGTGAGCTCTGGGGAATCTTCCATTGTTTTGCCACTCCTTAGACAGTGGTTCTGGTTCTTACAAAATTGCACAAAGTTCTCCAGCACTGCTTGGGCTGGTTTATTGTTAAGAATGCTTCTAGCAGAATTTCCCTTTCTGGCTTGTTGAAAAACCCCAAGTCCTTCTATTATGCTGGACAATGATGACCACAATTCTGGCATCAAGCCCTGTGTAAAATGTTGCCCAGATGCCACTACAAGCAGCTCATATTCTCAGCTCCCGCAGGTTGTTTCAAGGCTGCTCACAGTGCAAACTTTGCAGCAGGCTTCAGAGAAGACACTGTTCTGAAACAGTCTCAACAGGCTGGAGCCCACAGGCAATACATGGACTGTGGTAAGAGGCACGTGGTAGAGTTGCTACTTAAAAACTTCTAGGGTCCCCCATGTTATTAAACACCTCTCTCCTACAAGGCCCCATCTCTGTTTGCCAGACCGTGCTCAAGGTCAAAGTCAGCTCATTTCTCTGGGGTTGTGTTGCAGCCCCCTGGGATATAATATTAAGGACCATGCCTGGTCCCACAGCAAGGACTCCATCTGGCTCAGGGTAATGACAGAAGCTCTCCACTGACGAGCAGGCTGGAAAACAAGCAGCCTCTGTACAAAGGCTGGCATTTGGCAGCATGGCAAAGAGTCTTGACTCATTCAGGGGCAAATTTGCCCTTGTTGGGACAAGGAGGTAAGAGGAAGAGGAAATGGGGAAAGAGAGGAGGGAGAAAACTAGTGTTGCCTGGAAGGATTTCTGTCATGCTTTTAAAGCTCTCTTCAAATCTGAGACAACAGGAGTACTGATTAAATCTGTTCCTCATCTGACTTCTCCAGCTCTGCTTTCTTTTGCCGGGACACTTAGGCACAAAGAGAAGAATGAGAAAGAATGATGCCTCATGCTCAGACAAAAACAACTGCTTTCCTTGATCTGGTTATTACATGAATGTGACTTAGTCCACCCCAACAGATGTGGCCTCATCACAAGCACAAGGGAGGCATACCTGCTGTCTTTCAGCATGTTTAAAATGTCATCTCGAAAGGTGTCTCTGTTCTTCTCCAGAAAGCCTCTCACATCATACAGCACCTGCAACGCAGACAAAGCCACTAGAATAGTGCTGTACAAATCATGAAGCACTTCTATGTTATCATGCCAACGTACAAGACCTCTAGCAAAGCTAGCCAGTAATGCTGCAGGCATGTGCCAAATTCAGAATGTTTGGGGCCAAAGTGCTCCAGAGCTCTGCAGTTACCATTAAGAAAGTGGCTTTCAGCCATCAATTACAAAAAAAAATCCCAACAAACCACCACACACAAAACCCAAAATGCCCGCAAAAACAGAAGCCAAGTGAAACAGGTGCAGAGATTTGCCTGCCAGGGGTGTGTGGGGAGATCCTCTGCAAGGTGTGAGGTATTCAATTCACTTAGGAAATACTAACTATGCCACCCATTGCCCTGACCTCCCAACCACTAGTGCTCAGCAGATTCTAGGAGGAGGTTAGCCCTTCTTTAGTGTGCAGGTGCCCTCCCTTGACACACCTCCATCTGCTCCATTATCTCTCCACAACACAGAGCAGCATTTAACCTTGAAAGCTTGGAAACCTTTTCCTTTTTGCAACATGTATTTAGCCTTTTCTCCTCCTCCCCAAAAGTAAAATTTTCCTTGTGGCTTTTACTTCGGATTTTGTTTGTTTGTGAATGTCCAAGAAAAGACAACATGAATAACAGAAGTAAGGAGGAGTTTATCCCTCAAACCAAAAGTTACCTGAGAAAAACAAAATCCAAGCTAGAGAATATAGTACTGGAGAATGACATGCTGTTTTAAGCCAATCACACTCCCTGTGCTCTGGTATGGGGCACTAACTGTGCAGAAACACACAGCTCAGAGATATTCTTGATTCTTGGCATCTAAAATCCAGGACCTCAAGTCCAAAGATACACCAAGCATCTCACAGATACACCATGAACACCTACCTCCCCAGCATAATGTCTTATGCCAAACTGATGGTCTGTTACCCGAGGCTTCACATAGTAGTGGTTGCTCTGAAATCAAAGAAAAAGGAGTCTTCTTACAATGGCAGCGTAAGGATAAATAGCCTCAGTCAGGAGCTCTGCCACGACTATGACAATGCTGGGATGGGCAAGGACCTTAGCTATTGCAGAGCCCGACCATGTCTGCTGCAGCAATCCGCAGCTACATTACAAATACGTTATTCCAATAAGATGGAAAAATCCAGCCCTTCAAGGCATTCCTCATGTGAGCAAGGGCTTGCAGAATTGAGGCTGGGCAGGCATGCCATGGATGAAATGTTAACTCTTGCATGTCTGACACCTGAGGAGACTGGGCTCCACACAAACCATGTGGTGCAGGACACAGGATCAGGATGCAGGGAAGATGGCAGCTTTGCAGAACACCTACACATCTTTTCTGTGTCAAAGGAAATATCATACTAATCTCCCTCTGTACTTCATCTTTCTTTGCACCTCTCTTCCCCTTTTTTCAATATTCATTTTTCCTTTCTCTTACTAGCTGTTCTACTCTCTTGTTTTTCCCCTTCTTTCTTTGTTCTACGAAAACTGTTAACTATGTTAGAACAGCCATGCTGCTTGAGACCAACGATCCATCCAAGTATTCTGCCTCCGGCAGTGGTTATGTAGAGTAAGAACAAGGCAAGTAAATGATACTTTCATCCTAATACTTTCTCAAACTCCCATTATTTTCATGAGTTCTGCCTAACTAGTAATCCCAAGTAGATTTCTCTTTGAAATACTTGCCCATTCCACACCTGAACCCACGCAGACTTCTTGGATCCAGAGTGTCCTTTTGCAGGCAGCTCTCAACCAACCATACGGGGAACTGCAGCTGGCTGGTTTTAAGCCTGGCTCCTGTTAGTGCCATTTGTCTTCTATGGGCCATGCGTGAGTTTTAAACCCATCACATCCCCCCTAAATCATCTTTTCTGCACACTGCAGGGTCCTTTCAACATAGTTTTTCATAACACTGAAGCTGTCCCAGACCCATTGTTTACCAGAACTGATATAACCCATTCTTGAGTGGGGGTGGCCCAGTGGCGTACACTGTTGAAAGTGCAAGTGATCCACAGATTATACAGTGCCATAACAATGTTTTCTGCTTTTGTTCTGTTTCTTTCCTAGGAATTTCTAATACTTGATCTGGGTTTTTTATTACTAGTGAGCACTGTGCTAACGTTTCCGTGGAACTATCACAGCTTCTGTCTGGGTCTTGCTCCTGAAGGGCAGCAGTCAGCTCAGGGCCCATCATTTCAAATGTGAAACTGGGACTGTTTTCCTTTAGGCTCACCATTTTACATTTATCTACACTGCTTTTCATCTTCACTTTATAACACAGTCAGTCTCATAAGGCCTCCCTCAGTCCAGCCTTGCCCCATGAATCATCAGAAAACTGCCACCTCAGCGCTCATACGAAGCAGTCTTACAGGTCTCCCTCCATTGAGGTAACTGACCATTCACATTCTGTCAATTTACCCAATAGTGAAATAAGGATTATAATTTCCTAGAATGCTTTCTAAAAATTAAAATAATTTCCCACCTTCTCAGATACAAGAACTAAGGAAATTTTCAGTAAGATGTTGCACAATACTGTTAGTAATTCAGCTTTCATGTTCAAGTTCTCTTAGCAGTATCGGGTAGATGGCTTCTGACCCTGATAATGAGTTAGTGCTGTTCAAAACTTTTTCATTGCCTTTTTTCCTTTTCACCTTGACACCATTTCTTTGTTCTTCTCTTTCCCCAATCCAGTCATCTTTTTTCAGCCACAAACTTCCCTCTCTTCCACTCAAATATGGCTGTTACTGACTATCACGTGGATTAGCACCCTCCTCTCCTTTCCCTCTCTACCAAGCCCTTATATTTCATCCATGCCTACAACACTTCTGGTTCCTTCTGTCATCTGCCCTATTGCTCCTCTCCCCAGCTGTATCAGAGGTAATATTCTCTTTAATCCCAGCTCTATGCTTTTCCTCCTTAAGCCTACTGCAATCCACAGAAAACACAGATAAGAGGGCTTGTTCTGTTATAATGTCCTTCAGGCTTTCCAGCAAGGCTGGCTGGATGCCTTCCAGTGCTCTTCCAGCTAGCAGTAGAGACTTCAACTGGTACAAAAAATACTTTAGCCTTCAAAAAATGCAAACCCTAGAGCACTATCTACTTCATCTTCCTCCCTGCACTTCAACTTCTCAGCCTATTCCATCTCTTATAAGCTCCCTAGGGTTCCATGTTAACTGCTATCCCCTCAAAGCAGGCAGAGGTGACACTATGAACAGCTTAATGAAAAGGCTACTCAATGCACAGAAATCACCAAAAATAGCAATCAAAATGTTGTGGGGCATAAAGGAATGCAAAATAATACTGACAGTCTCATGCTGCTGTACAATAAACCACAGGTACCTTCTTACCAAGGGAACTGCATTCTGGTCTGATTATTTATCTCAGAAAAGAACAGAGAAAAGATGTAGAGGAATTCAGAGACAAACAGCAGAAAGAAGGGAGCTTTGAAATTTCTCCATTTGGAAACAAACTGAAGAGGTTGCGACAATTAAGAAGGAAAATTCAAAAGAAGTGATGTATTAAAAATATTCATAATTTCTATATTAAAAGTTAACAAAATACCAACAACAAAAACAAATAAAAAAGGTGAATCAGGCATTCTCATATACCTTGACCTATAATGCAAGGGAAAGCCAAAGTGGACTAAATCGAGGGCATCAATTTAAGCTCAAAGAAAGGAACTATTTCCACAAAACTATGCGTAAGTAGCCAACCAGAAGTCATTGCTATTGTATCCAATTTGTAGTCATGAGTATTACTAGCAGAGTTAGATGCAAATATGAAAGATGAGAATATCTGCATCTATGCCAATTTAAGAAAGAAAAGTGGGATAAAGGACACAAATTTGTTTGTTTTCAGGCTTGGATGAAACCTAAATTAGAGGACTAGGAAACATATTAGCTGACAATGTTCTTAATCAAGTAGCAAATTATTCCATAAATCCCTGCTACAGAGTTTAATCTGCTCTGTTTTCAATCTGTTTACTATTAAGAAGAACAGAGTGTTGGCTGTACCAGAGACAGGGTAAGAGATTGCTACAGTGATCTCACTGTGGTATCTGTGTCCCCAGGACAACTTTCTGACCTGCATGAAAAAGCCCTTCTACTCCTGTGTCCAGAATACAAGAAAGAGGAGGAAAGAATTTAATTAATTAGGAACAATAAGACAGCTTTCATTAAAAGTCATGAGGCAAAAGCCGTCCCCAGCCCCAGGAGACAGAGATTTGACACGCTCTGGAGCAGACTCCTGTGAGTCAGCTGGCAGGAGAAACCCATGCACACTGTGCAGCCGTGTTCTGTGCCTGGGGTGCTGCCTTGTGTCCCATCGCAGACCAGCAGAACCCGACCTCCATCCTGCACTACAAATTCAAATCTGCTCTACCCACCGCCTGTGGCATGCACACTCCCTCTCTCTGTGTGCACATGAGACCATTTTCACGTTTCTTCACATATTACTTTTGTTCAGTGCAGCCTTATTAAACACGCTCAGGTTCAGGCCTAAGGCATTTTAAATTTCCTGCACAAAGCACATATTTTACATCAACAAAACCTTCATTTCAAGTTTTGAAATGCTGATGGGGCTAACATACTGATCATTTGCCTGCCAGGTTATTTTCTTACTTACCATATGCTGGCTGTGAAGTTTTTCCAGAAGGGTGTTGTCTGTGCCTTTGGGGAATCGACTCTCTTCATTCACCAAGGCCAGTAGACCCAGTTTCTACAGCCAAACAAGAGACAGGCTTTTACAGTCAGCAAAAGCTCTAACTAGCACAGCACAAGAACCGGAGATCTGGACAGCACATTGACCAATAACCTCTGAGTTTTACTCAGCAAAGCTCAAGCTGAAAGCAGAATTCTGGCCAGTCGGTGCATTCAGCAAGCAGAACACACTGGAGATTATTTATAAAAAGTTCACGTTAAGGTTTTACTGAAATGCTGTTCCCTGTCTAAAACTATGACACCCTCCCTAAGCTTACTCTTACAATGAGAAGAGATCTGCTTTCTTGAGCCAGGACTATGGCTAGAATGGCTTATACTTTTGCCAGGTCATGCTGGGAAACGGATCTAAGCAACCGTTTTTAAAACCAGGAAACCCCAGGGAAGGTCTCAAGACAATCAGCAGTCCCACTGTGATCCCTGGAAACTGTCACAGATAACTGCTCACCTTCTCGATAAGGTCCAGGCACTCTGCATTATCCATCCAGTCAATGGCTTCCCAGTTTATCCCTTCCCTGACAGTCAAGAACAAACAGAGCAAAGATGTGAAATGCAAGATCCAACGCCCTGAAGTGCAGGAGAACAGAGGCAGCTAAGCACAGCAGCTGTCCCAGGACTCAAGACAATTTGCAGAATCAGGCTTTGCCGTGGCTGAGGGAAAAGAATAGGACACACAATGCACTGCTAACACAAGGAGACTGAAGTAGGAGACAGCCTTCCTTATCCATCCCAGTGACATAGACTGTCTACAAACCCTTCAGCCTAGGCTTCATACTTTCAAGTTTCAAAGCATTCAGAAACCTGTGGGCAACAGTTGGAAGCAACAAACGGGAATAATTTCTGAAGAACTGAAAGAACTATGTATTCCCCACAGGGAATAGAATATCTTATCCGCTTAATGACAAAAAATATCAGTTCACAGTGTTTCAGATTTTTGCAACAATAAGTATCAGACAGGCCACATGTTTTTAAAAAAAAAAGACCTCTGGATTCCTTTTAAGAGCAAGACCACCTTCTACAGTTGAAGAGAGCAAAGTTTTCTGAAACAAATCAAAGCGCAAACGAATCAAGTTGTGTCTAGTGCCACAGACTCCTTGCCTAATCAAATGATGAAATACATGGAGCTACTTACTAAACCTGAGGAAGCAGAGCTGATACTGTGAAAGATGAGCTTTAAGCACATCGCCTCAGAATAGCTTGATGAGTAGTCAATAATAAAATTCTCTCATTCTTTCCAAAGTTCAGCCACAGAACTTAAACTCCTATGTAATCACCAGGAAAAAAAATCTTTTGTTACGATGATACCATTCTTAACACAAGCTTCCTGCAATGGTGGAATTGGCTTGAGAAGTGAGTGCATAAATAGCCTTGCAGATTTGTAATCTTTAGAGTTTCATGAATTGCCTATTCAACTGTCTCCCTTTACAAGGCTGCTCTCATTTGCACTCACTGACCCTATTCAATTGCTTCATTCACAAACATAAAGGCTTCTGTTTCAGAGCAAGAACCAAAGTATTTGTCTAGCAGCCTTCTCTAGAAGAAGAAATACTCTAGAACATCCCAGGTACTTCACAAAATATAATCAAATATGAAGCCCACAGAAGAGAAACAGCTGTGCAGAATGCCCCATGCTCTTCAAGCTCAGGAAACAGCCTGATTTAAATCTCCTTGGTGAGAAAAGGAGACCTTTTGACAGCATAGGAATCTCTAGGACAGAAAGAGCTGTTGGATATCTAACCATCTATCTTTAGGGACTTTACTTTTCACACACCAATATTCCACCTGCCTAACACCACCACTACCTTAGGCAAATTATTACTGAAATCAGTAATAAGGCCAGTGACCATTCTAATGGTTTTAAACCCAAGATCTTCCCATTCAGCTGAGAGATAGAAGGGAATCTGGACTTTCTAAATACCACAAGGGAGAAAGCTTTTGCTTGGAGACAAGTGACCTACGCTGGCAAAGCACATGGACAGTGCTTACAGAGAGACATCCACAGTCAGGGTTGCACTTAAGGCCCAGCTGCCTCTCCTGCCTTAGCAGTAGGGACTGGACAGCACAAAGGAGGAATGATGTCCTCCATTCTACCATCCATGAAAGCAATAGGGGTCCCACTCCCTTCATTTGTCACCTGTTGTACTCCAGTTGCTCCAAGGAGAAGATGTGCTTGTTGAAATATTCCTGGAGTTTCTCATTTGCATAGTTAATGTTAAACTGCTCAAAGCGATTCACCTGTAAGAAGAAACAAAAATTATAAAACTTAACATTCTTGTCCCTAGGCTCTAAAAGAATCTATAACAGCGATGGGGAAGGTGCCAGGCTTGGAATAAAGCCAGAGAGCATAGAGGCAATGGGTGTCAGATGGACATGAGGAGAACAGTATGGGGAGGTCCTCTAGGAGAACGGCTTTTGTAGCTCATGCAAGGTTAATTCAGTAGACCTAAATGGCAGTGAAGGACGCTAAAGACAATCATATTTCTCTTCTTCTTAGGAAGAAAGAAATACAATTCTCTAAGTGTTAGGTCATGGGGCTATCTCTTCTGTGAAATATCTGAGCAGTCACTGTATGGCTGTTCAACGTACATCCCTCATCAGTTGCAGCAGAAGCATTACACATAGGAGTCTCAACACAAGGCAAAACAGGCATAAACAAACAACGTGCACGTAGGAGTTTGACATTTAATCTGTATACAAGTTAAAAATTCAATATTACCTATCGCAGCACATCTGCTTAGGGTCTGTGTTACAAACCAGACCTTGAACATCAGCCTCCATGAATACAGGTGGCAGAAATGGGCAGCTAAATATATCTTGCTGCTTCCAGGGGGAAGTGGCAACAGAGAAATCCCAGAATGCCCTATGCTAACCTAAACAGGATACAAACCAACCAGAATTCCTTCCTATATGCACTGACATCTCTAAAAGCAACCCACCCTGCAAAAGACATAATCCTGACCTGAAAGTTCTCGAAGCCAAAGATATCCAGGATGCCCACAGACTTAAAGTTTTCCTTGCCTTTGATCTTCGTATTAATCTTGCTAATAAGCCATGAAAAACACTGGGAATAGAGCGCCATAGAGAGGGAGTCCCTGGAGTCAGCTGCCTGTAAATACAGAGAGAAAAAATATGAGTCACAGGGAGAAGAAAAGGCATAAGGGGCACCATGAATCTCTATGGGACTTCAGGTTCCTCCACTCCTCTTCAGATGTCTCAGTCTCTGTACTGGCTGTGTATGGTGCAGTATTTGTACATATAGTCAACACTGAAATTTGCAAATAGCCCAGCCACACACAGATGTACCATGTATGACCTTTGGGTAACTGAACTTGAGAGGCTGAAGGAAGTAGCAAAATCACTGACATCTGTTGGAACAAGTGCTGGGGCAGGGAAGATGGCAAAATACCTCATGACTATGCCTGCAGCAGTCATTTACATCATCTGAGCAAACATTTGCAGTGACAGGCAAAGTGTCTCGGTTCAGTACTCCTAGTAGAGCTGTGAAATGGATGTCCAATCAGTTTTTCAAATACTGGTAGGGCAGGATTTAATAGAGTATTCTGTCACCAAGTTACCCTTAAAGATCCCCTCTCCAAAACTTTTCTGCGAACAGCATTATCTTACTGGGACCCAGGTAGGCTGGCCAACAGCCAGGACACAAGCCTCAGAAAAGCACGGATTGAGACAGTTGGTTATGATCATAACCAAGTGGCATAGGTGGAAAAAAATAACTTAAATTGTTATCACTAACAGGCAGTAGATAATTAGGTGTATCTAAGTGTGTGGATGAATGTCTGAAATCAAACTTTTGAAATCTCAAGCAAAAGCCTGCTACTTGATAGCTGTAATAGGAATGGGCTGGTTGTAAATTTTGACAGCACTTGGACTAAACAGAAGCAGCATGCCCCAAATCCTCCAGTTAATAAAGAGACATGAGACGGAACCACAAATTAAGAGAATGATTGCACGCTGTCCTTCTGCACATACACTCTTTAGACTTGGAAACCAGAGTTTAAGGTTCTGGAAAGAAGAGAAGGCAAAAAATAAGGGTTCCCAAAAAGAAGACGTGATCCCAGAGAATAGAAAAAGGGGCCAGGAAAGAAGACAGCAAAGATCTTGACTGGAAGAAAGATGCTGAAAGTGGGGAAAGATCCTGTAGATGAGAGACACATGGAGACAAATGTCAGGGTATGCCCAAGGACCTTGGCTGGTAGTTCCTGAGACTGGTAACTTCAAGGAGCTACACAACATGAACCAACACAACTTTCTGCCTGACCCTCCTGGACAAGCAGTAACCTCCTGACTGGGAAAAGAAGTTGACATCTAATGAACGTAATGTTGAGGCGTGAGTGAGCAAGTACATGAAATAATCAAGTAGTGTAAAAGCTACTTTTGTCATTTCATAAACCACACTATCTAGATCAATTACTAAGGCCCAGCCTGCAAGATCTTCCTTTTCACCTGACCTCGCTGTTTGTCTCCTCCTTTCTCTTCCTGGGTAGTATCTCCTCTCCAGCAGCCCAAGGCCAAAGACACACAGCAACCTCCCTTCTCCACAGAAGAGAACATTTCAAAGTGTGGGCAAACATACACCTTTTCTGGGTATTTCTTCTCTCCATCAGGTCATCTGTCTTATTAGCTGGGACTGAGAGTGCCCACAAGGCCATGCCTCTGTAGTGTTTCTGGCTACACAGCAAGTTAGACTCATTCTCCAGGAACTGGATCTCCCTATCCAGCTGTAAGCAAAGCTGCTTTCCCCACAATATGGCTCAAATGAGATTCTCAAAGGCTCCTTTCATCCTCCCAGCTTTGCCCGCCTTCAGGCCAGTTCAGCCCACTGAAATGTCAAAGCTCAGATGGGTAATGAGCCCATTACACAATGAGAAATCCCTGGCAGCTCTATCAATGCATTCCCGCAACAAGTGGGAATAGGTGGGCACAGTACATGAAGCAGGAACAGTTTTTACAGAGCCAGGGTGCAGTGCAACAGGCTCACATAGTAAAGACAGCTAAGTAGTACCATCCACTTGCTGTAACAATTTTCTTGCAGTATTAGTACTTCACTGGGCTGCAAGCAGTAAGTGTGGGGTCCAACATGCATAAATGTCAGAAGCAGCTACACTATCAGGGAAAGCTCTGTTCAGGGAGACTCTTGTAAATCCTACAACTGTGCGCTGTTGCTCTGGACTGCACGGAGTGTCTCTGGCATTATTTGTTATCCATCCTTGTGCACTGATATAGAAACATGTGACTTATTTAGCTGAGAAGAGAAACTGGTACTGGACACTGAGGAAATCTATCACCGACTATAGGCTGAAAAATAAATTTAACAGAATTTAATTGCAAAGAAAAGTCACAGACTATGAAAAAAAGATACCATTTCTTAAAGGCAAAGCTTAATTTGTGATGTATTAGCAGGTGTGTTTGCAGCTAGAAAAGAAGCGACTACTCTGCTGTAATGAGCACTGCTGAGACTTCAGCTTGAATACAGTCTCCAGTTATAGGCACTCCACTTCTTGAAAGATGTGGGAAAGCAGAGACAGAAGAAGAAGAGATTTAGAAAATTACTTACAAGGAAACACTGAAGGAACTGGATTGTTTAGCTTGGAAAAAGAGACCACCACGTGAAAAACTTCACAGAAGCAGAAGCTTATAAGGTGGACAGCTGGGATGTCAAAGGTAATCTAAATATGAGGGAAAATTTTTCAGCTCGAGACTCCACTGCAGCTAGAACAGGATACTTAAAGAGGCTGTGAAATTCCTTCCATGGGAAATCTGAAGGAAAGTTAGACAGACATCCGTCAGAGACAGCCTAGTAACTGGTTTCTCTGCCAATGTAGGGGTTGGATTGATAACCCTCTGTAGTCCATGACAGCACAAGATTTCCATTACAGATGTTTGTTTTGCTACATGATGCTTCTTCCATCTTAGTAATATTATTCCTAGTTTTCCAGTGTCTTGCATTTTATTAATGACAGAAGATTATGTACAGTTATCTGTGCATGGACCTAAAACACCAAGAGTGCCCTCAAGTGATCAGCAACACCACAAGTCAAAGTTAGCAGGCACAACACTGTCATGAATCACAGAGAAATGTAATAGATAAGCAGGACTGGCTTCAGCACGCAATACAGGTTCAGAAGATGAGAACTATGTGTCAGTTTATTCAGTCCTCCTTTGCAGTTGTATGGATACACAAAGAAGCTGCTGTGGGTTAACAACCTACCACCTGCCAGATGTTTCATGGTATCCGCGTGCAAGCTTTTATCTTCCAGTAAATGCCGCACAACCTGGGAGTTCTGCAAGGCAGAAGCAGGCACACATGCAATTACCACAAAGCATCTGATGTACCTTCTGCATGGCACAAGCATGACCAGTTCCTGGTGAGTGAAGGTGACTTAAAACCAGTATTGTGCATTGCCATTTGCAAGTGGACTCCCCGGTAATGCCTTAAGAACACAGTCAACACTCGGATCTGAACTACCAATGAGGGCAAAATACTTGAGGGCACAACTGAGCACCTAGGGGGTGTAACAGGAAATCCTAAACCTAAATGGATGATACAAGAGGAAGACAGAGGGCCTGAAAATGCAGAAGTGGCAGAAGCAGCAGCATACACTAGGACACTTACCTGCTCCACAGTGAGAGGGGAGCTGATCTCTTCCCCACGCAGAATCATGGACCTCTGTGTCAGTACTTCAGAAAGCTGAAAGGCGTCTAAGCCCAGGAGGTCACTGGCAATGTTCAGCACTAATAACAAAGGAGGACACACTTTTTTCTCCTGCATGGATCCCCATCACTCACATAAGTCCATATTCTGCAGCCCAGTAAGCAAATCCCAGGGACTCCTACAAGGCAAGTGACTAAGCCCCAGCACAAAACACACTCCCCTTTATTTAATTCTGTTTGGCATACCCAAAGCTGTAAGCTCACATACCCAGTCTGAGGCAAGGTCAGCACCCCTTATGGGCCACATTCAGACACTCATGTAAGTCAGATTTTCTGCTGACAATAGGAAAAGCAAAGCACTGTGTAAAGCTCAGCACCAGCAGAATATTTGAATGGGAAGATATGTTTTCCTAAAGGCACAATAGTGCAGTCTGAGTGTGAGACTGTTAAACTTGGATGTCAAGAAGAGAGACAATTAAGTTAAAACTTGAAGCACTTATAATATTTATGTATTGCTTCTGTCTGTTTAGGGATTCACTTTACCAGCCCATCTCAGATTGGGTAACTGTAACAGAGCACACACTAGCAGATGCTTCAAAGGAAGATGGAAAGTCCGTAACAGACTACTTTTATCTCAAACTCCCCCCTGTTCCTATTTCTTCCTGCTCTCTCAATGCAAAAAAGAAACTGTGAGACTGTGGACTCAGTCTGAGAGCATCAAGGAAACAAATGGATCACATGGCCACAGCCCAATTAAATCATACCAGTATGCTCTGGAGCCATGCATCCTGTGGCAGTGCTTTTGCAGGGTTAAACTGCGGGGAACCCGCTGGCAAAGGCACTGCAGACCAGCATAGCAGAGGGAGATGAGGGACGATGGAGTGAGCTATACTGGGGGCCTTGTGGGGCTCTGCATGGTCTACCAAATTGCTAGGGTCCCACTTACCTGCTTTCGTTGTAACCTGGGCCCCACCAGCTGTCATGAATTCAACATTTCCCAAATGAAGTGTGCCAGAAAGAAGCTTGAAGATGTCTCTGATTTCTTCAGTGCTGAAGTCCACCACCTTCATGGCAGTCTATGCAAAACCATACAGCTAATGTTGGCTGTACATACAGCTGCAGTACAATACAATCACCACACTCATGCCCAGCCTGTATAAGATGTAAAACTCAGAATTGTAGTCATCATGAATCAAAGTGAAATGGGACGGCACAGCCCCTCTCTCAGCTATACATCTGCCAATGATCTTCACTGTCTCCCATTCTCTCCTTCATTTACCCTATCCCCATCTAAGGCAGGTGGGCATTTGCCCTAACCTCCAGTTGGACTTTGCTGCTGCCGCTGCTTGTCTGTCACAGGAAGAATGTGTGTGTGTGTGCCTGCATGAGGAAATCCTTCCCTGAGCACTGGCAGTACAGGTTGCAGATGTCACTGGACTGCTTCCACATTCTACGTTATTGTCTTTCCTGAAGGACGGATCCATATAATCTACTTAATTTACTCTGATCCATGTAACGCTATTTACTCTAGTTTAGAATAGTAGTTTTATGCAGCAAGATTTAAAACCAGGCTTTCAGCATTAACTGCTAGAAGGTTAGAAACAGGTTACCAGATAACAAGGAAGTATGGCACATTCCCTTTGTCTTAGTGCATGCAGGTGAGCCAGCGTTCTTGGGGCATAAATTGACTTTGAGAGGTAGGACCTGTTTTTCATGCATTCGCCCTGCAGTGGGGCACTCCAGCTTTCTAGTTCCCTTCTTTCCTCCAGGTGTCTCCTCAGCTGAAGTATTAAATACCATGTCACCATCAAAACCTCTGCTGTACAGGAGACATTTCCTTCCCCTAAATCACACCTAAGCAGGAGCTATCAAAATCCTAAGCTGACTCCACTCATGTTGCCCATCTGGTTTCAGCTACATTATTAAAGCACTCAGGCCAATAACCAGTTATCAAACAAAACATGAATTGCATATTCATCCTGCTAAACCCGTAACCTCTTTAAAGCTACAGATGCCTATTGAAATCTGTGTAGTACTTCAGAATATGCCATTTGCACAGGTGATACAACTTTACCAGAGAATTTCTGGAGAACAATACCTTCAGACCAAACTGTTCCCCTTCTAACGGTCCATGTGAGGTTTCCTGCATCCAGCCATCTAGAGGGCTCCCAAGAACCATTACGGGATGGGACGATGGGGTTGATGGTCCCCAAATCTCCACCATTCTAAATTATTATTCATCCTTGACTGTTTCCCAAATTCCACCATTTCTGTACACCAAAAAGCACTCTTTGAGCCTTGTTTTTACCATAAACAGGTAAAGCTGAGTTTCAGACACGTTGAAGACCATATTTTGGCTTAGATCAAATAAATTTTGCCCATGAGATCTAGACCCTGCAGTGTGTTTAGCCCATGAGATTGTGCCCAGTTCAGGAGTTAGGACAGGACTCACCATGACCTTACTGAACATCTCTACATCATTCAGATTCTCATCAGTCACACAACCAGACTGGTTCAAGTAGCGATAAGTCTCTGGCTCAGAGAGGGAGAGGCTCTCTGCAACAGAGGAAAAAGAGGCAGGGAGGATAAAGACAACAATTTATTTAGCAATCAGCCTTTTCATTCTATGATCTTGGTCCCCCAAAACAGTGCATATGTTTACCATAGGAAGAATTCATCTGAATAGGTTCCATATCCCTCAAAAACCACACCTAGACAGTGAATACACTGGGGAAGGGGAATAGGAGGGTGTGTGGTAACAAAGCTTGCAGATGGTATGCAAAATGATTGAGAACAATCAAATCCCAAGCTGCAGAGTGGCAGAAGAATGACTCAGAAAAAAAAAAAAAAAACCTACCGAAAAAAACAGAAAATGAAATTTAATCTCAAAGTTGAGAAAGAGACCAGAAAAATAGTCTTAACTATACATATACAGTAATGACCTCTAAATTAGATATCACCACTTGAGACAGAGTTCAGAGTCACAGCAAGATTTCTGAAGACATCAGCTCAGTGCTGAGCAGCAGTCAAAAACTGAACACAGTTCAGTTCCTTCAGTTTTAGAAGGAACACAGAACTAAACATAAAACCAGAATTAGGTCTCCATACGTATCTGTAGCACAACCTCATCTTAAATACTGTCTGAAGGTTTGATCCTCTATTTCAAAAAGGATAGAGGAGAACCAAAAGATCTATGACGAAAGAAGAGAAGGATGGTCAACAGCCAGAAGCACATCACAGATTAGGGAAGTGAAGCAGCCTGGGACACCAGCTTGGAAAGGGAGACGGGGAAGAATAGCAGAGATCTGCTGAAGCAAATAATCTGTTTTGTATGCTTTCCCTAAGTACTTGCTAATAACCATGGTCCCCACTATCTTCCTTTGCTTTAGATGGATCTCTGAATGGACCTACATGGCCATTCCTGCATGAACTCCCTAGAACTGGAACCCTACTCCCTTCCACTCTGTGTGAGGCCCAACTCTTCCATCTGATTATTCTAAGGCACACAGAACAAAGGCATAAAGAAATTCCCCAGTCCCTCAAAACCAGAGTGCAACCTGCCTACCTATGTGACCTCTTCAGCAAGACCAGCAGTGCTCAGCAGTGCCTGGGGCAGGTACACACAAACGTTAAGGGGGTGCTGCACTACAAAGAGGATTCTTCCTGCCACTTTCTCTGCAGGCCCTCTGCCAGACCCAGCTCTCCCTTCCCCATGCACGGAGATACAAACCCTTTGTTCAGATACTAGATATATTTTGACTCTAGTCCTGCCACTACATCACTGGTCTTTCCAATTCTTTTCTCTCCTATTACCTATACTGAAGGCCTGTTATAAAAGTATGTCTGTCAGTCCAACCTTTGAACTCCTTGACAGCTCCCATCAGCATCTGAATCAAGACTCTTCACCCTTCCTTTGCCTCTAGCCAGTTTCATTAATGCCTCCTTTCCACAAGATTTTCCCTCCATCTCAGAATTCTTGACGTGTCATTTCTTATACGGCATTTCTGTCATCCTCAGCCTCTTTTTCTCAACTCCCCTTTCTATTTCCCATGAAATCACCATATGGCCTTCAAGCAAAAGTTGATATATCAAGTACCTGAAATATCCATTCCCTAACTGACTTACACCAGCTTCACATGCTGGACTAGAAAGAGGACAGAGCCATTTCCCAGAAAATGAAATTACCTTTCTGCTCCCCACTCACACCAGCTAGCAGAGCATAAAAGATGTGGTAATTCCTCTCTCCGGGGTTCTGGTGTACCACTCTGTTCTGAAACAAAGAATATAGGAGTAGCCAGTAGAAAGAGATCGCATTTGTGGTTATAAAGGCAAAATGAGGATCGGAATACAGGTAAGTCTCCAGGGCCAATGCACAAGAGGGGTTTCTTCCAGTTTCGTGACGGTGTTGTCTAAATAAGGTCTACATCAAGATCTTGCCATGTGTGGCTGTGCAACTGAACATGTACAGTCTTCTCTGAACTCACTTAGAGAGCGCGCGCAGGAAAAAAACTGAACCTTGTCAGTTCTGGCCCTGCTCCTCAGCGAGTTCCTGAGTCCAAAGTAAACTACGTCAGAGCAGAGATGTCTGCATTTGGAGTTGTACCCCCATATTCCTCTCTATGGAACTGAGTTTCCAGGTACTTGTTCTGTCTCCCTTTCCCTTTGGTAAACAGCTTTTTCTTGGCATCTCTCTGTAAGTCACAGAGTCTATCAAAGACAGGAGAGCAGGCTCTGATAGATATGGAACAAACATTGTTCTTCCAACATCCTCTTCCTCAGCTGGGACAGTTGCAGTAGTAACATCTAAAAAGCTAATGTCTATGTGCTGTGATGGAGGCAGCATCATCCAAGATCTGGCACAGCCCCACCATCCTATGAGGAGAGGGCTCACCCAGCCATCAGTAGAGGTGATACCTACCTTTTCCAGTAAATCTGAATGGTATATTAAAGAGAAAACATTCAAATGACATAGGCACAGATCTCCTGATAACTGGCAAAGAAACTTCTAGACACATTGGGATGAACCCTGTAACAAGCAAAAATTATTAAATAAATAACTGACACTTTGGAAAGTGGTACAAAAAAGTGGTCCCAAACATCATCTCAGATCCTCCCCTCTACTCCTCATCCAAGGAGGTATTATGTGCCAAAGACGTATTTAAAAGGGCAGGGTCAGATAGCACATAGGACCTGCACAATGGTGAGGTAACCTAACAAAGGATGAACCACACTAGAGACACCTAGAAAGATTAGGAAGGCCACTCTAATCTGAAAGTTTGTATTGCACACAGCAAGTCTTGCATCAGTTTTCATTGCTTCTGCAAGAGACCGCTATCTTTAATCTACCGACAGCACAAAGAGCAGAGACTAAACAATCCAAGCCTGTTATTTACAGCAGTAGTAAATTCATCTGGCTGCTACGCCAGTGGAAATTGGTGTGGTTTGCAGTCATCAGCGGCTTTGAATGTCAACATCAAGAAATGTAGCCAAGGCAGTTTTAGCTGCCTCACATAGACAAAAGATATGTCAAAGCCTTTGGCAGAGGGGGACACAGGCAGACATGGAAGAAAGTGGTCATGGTACAACATAATTCAACTATATCCAGACTTCCCTGTCCTTCTTGTCACTGGAACAGGCTCCCCAAAGAAGTGGTCACAGCACCAAGCCTGTCAGAGTTCAAGGAGCGTATGGATGACGCTCTTAGTCATACGATTTAGTTTTAGGTAGTCCTACAAGGAGCAGGGAGTTGGACTTGATGATTCTTATGGGTCCCTTCCAGCTTGAGATATTCTATGATTAGGCTTCCAAGGTCCACTGGAGATGGGCAGCCCAAAACAGGGAGTCCTAATTGGCTCTCTAAATTCCTGTTCTCCTATGCATCCAAATACTGTGCAGAATATATTGATCCTTAGCTTGTCTCACTTCTCTACATTGGCAGAGCTAATATAAGGGAACAATCCTCTGGGAAAAACAGGATGCAATCAACATGCGGAATCTTCCTAGGCAGCAAATTTAGTGATTCAAGTATCAAGTGTTGCACTTGCCAAAGTGAAAAGTCAAACTACGTCCTTACCTAATGTAGTACCTAGACAAAAGGTTTACAGAGTAGGGTGCTGCAGAGCCACAAAACAAACGTTTCTTCCTTCCAAGTTCCCCATTTGCCCACAGTTATAAACTGGCTTTGAGAAACTGTGATGAGGGATTTCCGGACCCACACTGAGTACCTCCTCATCTTCACTCACTCCATCCATTTCTGGTCCACTGAAGAAAAGGATACAATCAGTTACTCGGCCTCCCTGGATGTGTCCATGGTGAGAGAAGTGCAGCTGGATGAACTTGCCAAAGCGGCTGGAGTTGTTGTTATAAACTGTCTTGGCATTTCCAAAGGCTTCCAGAATGGGGCTGTAGAAACAAGGCAATGAAGGTATGATTGGTGACGGGATTCCACTAGAACAAGGCGTGTGCCCAGCCTTTTGCCATGTGCACAGCGTGCACTGCCATGTGAGATTAACTTGTTAGAGCACCAGACTGGACAAGCAGGAAGAGCTCAAGGGCAAGGAAGGATGGCAAGAGCAATTTAACATGCTGCTAGACAAATTTTAAACCTTTGGGACTGGAGGTAATTAAATCAGTCCCCAGTCAGTATGGGCAGCTGGTGTTCACACCGTCGAGGGCATTCCCCACCAACGTGGTTCAGGAAATGAAAGGTGGCAAGACCCAGCCAGCTTGTCTGCTTAACACAGCAGCATCCCATGAAATGGGCTTCTATTTTTTTTCACGATTTTCAGAAGCATCAGACATAGAGGGCAAACACTCTGTAGCTTTAAACCACATCCTCTTTGTTTCTGCTTCTACCTTTGAAAGAGGAGACAGTAGAAGCCATCTCTTAAAGTTACAGGAAAACATTTTCAAAGTAACAGACAAAGATAGTACTAAACTGATTTGTTTGGTACTGAAATTCGATTCCGAAACACACAAGCCCTTGTTACTTCAATCTTGCCCAGGCTGATACAAGCCACGTGGTTTCCAAGAAGAGGGACTACACATATACTATAGATCTGAAAACTTTATTCTAAGAGAGTCACACCATCCACTTCAGGAAAAAAAATGGTGCAAGAAAAGCTATCACCAGACTTCAGACAGATGACAAATTGAAGAGTTTTGTCTCCTGGTCACCCTCCTGTCTTCAGGAGGTTCACGCAACATGGAAAATGGTGAGTTAAAGTGCAGCTTGGTTCCTGCTCCACAGAAAAGTGCAAGGGAAAAGCCTAAACCATTCAAACTGACATGCTGAATCCAGGATTAAAATATTCATTTTTGCAATTTAGCCAATTCTAAAATAATCTGAAGGCCTGACAAGCAAGAAGTCACGCAGATGTTACAAGAACATCCTGTATGCGGTCATGTTTAGTTTTAAAACATACATAGTTTTTAACAAAAGTTATTGCCGTTATTACCCTGAGATACTGGCTTTTCAAACATCTCCATCGATCTACTGTGCAGTTCCACTGGAGAGAGGGGCAGATACAGGATCATTCACAAGTTAATAATTACAACATGACAAATAATCACAACTACAGATACCACTGGAGTTTGCTGAAAGCTTCAGGCCTTGCAAGTGTTAGCTAAGTGAGAGCTGTGGTTGTGGGAAAGGCCCAACAACCTTCAGGAAACTCCAGGTAGTATTTTCCTAATTTATCTCTTGAAAATATCACTTTACGGAAACAAAAGGATAGCAATTAAATTGTTCTGTTATAATGCACTACAACCATAGAAATCCCAGTCATAGAAATCTGTGTGCACAGATGAGGAGGTAAATTCCTTGCCCTGGAGAATGTGAACTCCAAGACCCACGCCTCTGAAACAAGTATGTAAATAAGGACATTGCACAGCAATATCCCACTAAGCACACCAACGCCATGAATCAACAAAAATTAATGGGGACGACCAGAAAAAGGGAGGACAGGGTTATGTTATATGACCACCACAGTCGCAGTGAGAGTGCAGTAACCAGCCAGCCAATCTTTATGGCTCTAAATCATGTTAAATTAGATAAGCAAAGCACAAGGAAATATCTTTATAGTTTAGTTTGGCAATGGGTGCATGCACATGAGCATGGAATTCTTGCAGGGATGGGGGAGGAAATAGGCACGTGGGTGTCCAAAGCTGGCGGCAGCTGCAAGGCAGAGGGGTGGGTGAGCAGATACAGCCAGGAACGAGGGCAGGCGTCCGGGCCAAGCAAAGTGCCCGCGCCAGCAGGCACATCGCAACGTGGCATTTGATGCAGCAGTGAACTGTGCAAGGCAGAGCGGCGCATCGGGAAGGTGATGCTGGCTGCTCAGCTGGATGTGGGCAGGATGTGTTGCAGGACTTAAAAGGATGGGAACCAGTTTTAGCAGGGCAGCAGAAAGTGAAGCCTGGATTTCAGAAAGATGCTGCAACATATGCAGCTCCAGGATTCAGATGCATGGCTGAAGACAAAAAAGAATATTTGAAGATTAGAGGGATGAATAACAGGAAAGGTGGCTATGCTGTCAGCAGTGGCACCGAACACAGAGAAGGGAGCTTCAGAGTGAAGCAAGCAAGAAAAAAGCTGAGAGGAAAGTTAGCAGAATTTTTACTGGACTGATGGATATTTTCAAGAAGGAAAACAGACCAAATCAACAGTGCCAAGGGAGTTTTCAGAGCCTGATTTCTGAGAAACATGCCAAGCATGAATGTTACAACACACAAGCAAATGATAGAAAGCTGATGTAACGTTTTGTTTATAATGCTGTCTGAAATGGAGAAAGAATCCAGCATTGTTCCTGGGTATGTGCTGGGGTGCAAGGATGAAAATCCACCATAAGCTAACCCAAGGAGGGCCACTGGCAGAGCAAGTGAAGCTGAACTGCAAACATATGAGGCAGACTCATTAGGAGTGGCAGCAGCTTCTGGCTCTGGGCCAGGTCTTCAGCTTCTCTTCTTTAGGGAAAGGTGACAAGTTCTCTTGCACTCGCATTGCAATAGCTCACGTAGCTCCAGAGACGTACAGAAAACAGGCTGCAAGCTCTTACCCCCACAGCTTACCTCACAGCTGTGGGATCTTGCAAACTCAGGAATCACCTGCCTACCATCCTAAGCTTTCTGGATCACAGTCAAGTTACCACTTAATCACTAAGCAGGCTTGAGCCTTCTAAGCTGCTTGCCTTAAAGCAGATTTTGCAGATCTTGAGTCGTGACTGTATCACACTTAAGAACTTTCTCCAATTTGCCAATGTCCCTGGTAAAATCTGCGCACCTGCAAAGGATAAGTCATCCAAAAATAGTCTCTTGAGCACAGGTCCAAAGGCAGCAACCCTTCTGCTCAGTGCTGCTCTTCTTATAAGGATCCTAAAAACTGCAATGCTCTTGCAGCTGCCACGTTAGACACTGCATGTGTGTTTGGGTTTTTTTCATCACAGTTACTAGTAACTTTTCTGTGTCACCATCTTCCAGGAAACATTCCTTCTCTCTCCTATCTGGGCCCTGAAATATGCCACTTGCATGAGAGTCTCTTTTACACAGACGGTTCAAAGGATTCCAGTTAATTATGCAACTAGATCCTGTTGCAGACATCTGATTTACTCCTCTGGAGATGTCTGCAACTATCACAGGCTCAAACTGGGGCCAACCTGCAGCCTCACCCTTGACAGTGCTAAACTGCAAGACGCTCAGCAAGGTCCTCCAGCCACAGGCAAGACAGTCTTGTGTTTGGAAATTTTTGTTTACTTTAATTTATTAAATAGAATTCAAGTGTTAAGAAAAAGGAGGAGATGAACAATACAACAGATACTTAAGTAAAAAACTTTCCTCCCTCTTCCCAAGGCTTACCTGAAAGCCAAACACCTATTGTCCTCCTTTTATTAGCCTCAGCTTCCATTTTTACCTCAGGTTACGACCAGTCTCTCGCAACTCCCCCCACAAGGCAGCAGGCAGCACGGGCGGCTGGGCTAACACACATAACTCACTTTTTCTGTTGCTCTTTGATTTCTTGTTTGCTCTGCTACTCTTTGCCTGTATTCTTCAGCTGCACTTTGCTTCTTCAGGTTTTCCTGACCCTTTTTTCCTTGGTGTCCCCGTTCCAGCATGGGTCACCAGTGGGCAATGATCCCTCATGGGTGTCCTGTCCTGACATGGGTCCACGGTCCCTCAGGGGTGTCAGGACCTCCTTCAGCATGAAGCAACCTCCACAGAGTGCATCTCTATCCCCTCATGGCTGCTGGTTTCTTTCCTGAACACATTTGATCTAGGCGCCATGTACTTCCCTACCTGCCTGACGCCTTGGCAAGGTTTTGGTGGCTGGTGGTTATTCCCTGGTGCCAGCTCCAGCCGAGACCAGCTCTGACCAGCCCAGGGCCTCCTCACTCATGCCCCTTACAGCTCCCATGAAGTTTCTCGGCGGAATCACCTGCCTGGACAGCAGGAGAGCTGCAAGGTGGCCCACAGGACCTCTAAGGGCAAGACAAACCAGCGGCCTGAAACAGAGGCTGAGGGAGAGTGGGGGTTAAAGGAGGAGACTAGGAGTCAGAGTGTGACGGAGACTCGCTGTGAGCGCAGTCACAACCAAGAGCTGTGGGAGAGGGGGGCGACCTAGGACAGCCAGGGAGGCATGTAACCCAGCCACTGCCACGAGAGATGTAGAGCTGGAAAGAGGGACAGCGCAGTGATGTGCAGGTGAGATCAAGGGTGCAGCTGGGCAGGCACAGGGGATGAGTTACTGAAGGATGGAGAAATCCCAGCCTTGGCTAAAGCATTAATTCTCTGGCTGCCACGTGCACCCTGCACTGCTATTGGAAAGAAGCCTAATTCATCCACGGGCAGCTGGAAAAGCAGCCAGCGTGAGGTGTCCCAGTGAGACCATGGCCTCTGCGTTTCACTGACATGACACCATTCCGCTGCGTGGTCCTCACTGCCCACGTTTGGCTCCATCCACGGCCCGGCTGCCCAGAAGGCCATGCCCCTGCCAAAGGCAGGCTGCCCAGCAGGCCGATGTCTGCAGGGTACAGGATCCCGCACACCCGTGAGGGTGACCATACCTGCTTTCCAGGATGGCTTCTTCCACGTGAGTACTCTTCTCAGATGGGGAGGCCCCGAGGGAGGTCTGGCTCATGGCTGACAGAAATTTCAGCAGCAACTTGGTGCTCTCAGTCTTTCCAGCTCCACTTTCTCCACTATTAAGAAAAAACATACATTTCATTCACAAATCCAGGACAGACAGAGCTAATGACCTTCCCACCCATGGCAGAGAAGTGATCTCCAGGAATAAACATGTGGCATCTCCACTGTGACAAGCAGGGATCAGGCAAAGGGTAGGGAAGATGGAGTGGATATTTAGGCAGATGTCATTGCAAACAGAGCAGCAGGAGCAAGGCATGTAATGCAGTCAGGAAGTAGCTGGTTTTCCCATTTCTAACCTTATCAGAACACACTGGCTGTCATGACGCTTCCACAAGCAGCAGTAGCACTCGTTAGCAGTGGCGAAGATATGGGGAGGCAGCTCACCCAGGCGGTGCTGTCTGTACAGGTCTATGGCATCCACACTGTACAGACCAGGGATGGGTTTGTAGGGATTTACTGATGCCAAGATGGAACCAATGTTTGTCTAGGGTGAGAAAACAAAACACAGCAAGGAAATAAAGCTCCTGAAAAAAAAAAAAAAAATCACGACAAACCCAGACCCTGAAATAACTCGTGGTGAAGGAAGAAAGCCTAAATAAGGAAGCTGGGCTTCAGCAGAGAGCTCCCCAATTTGGCAAAGAATGTACAAACCCCAGTGCAGGGGCTGCACAACTGGGTATGGATGGGGCAGTTTGAATTTTGCTGCTTTACAATAAAAAGTTCTTAGTCTGTTGTCTTTGCTAAATTAAGCTTACACAATTTAAAAACATGAAGACATCTTCATACCCAGCTACCTTGCACTGCACTTAAACCCAAAAAGCAGAGCCAGGAGTGTCAGGAGATACCTTCAATGTGCCTATCCACAGTCTTAAGTGGAGGGAGCTTGGCAGGTTTCAAGTACCTCCTGAATAAAGAGGGACACAGAGACACACACACACGTATGTGTGAAGAGCCGCTGAAGCATATCATTTTTCTTCTGCTGAAAAATGCTTTTTGAAGCAGCTTAAATCATTTGGTAAGCCAAATCAAAATTGACAGCTGATGAACCTCAGGATTTCAAGTCAAAACATTTCAAGTCAAAGCATATCTACATTTTCTAAAGATTTTATTTTGAAAATATTGATTTTGAAAATCTCATAGGTCAAGAAGAAAGTTAATAAAAGCCTAATATTGAATTTCAAACATATTCTTTTTTGAAGTCAGAAGGAAATTAATTTTGGTTTTTGGGGCATGACTTTTTCGGTTCAGCCAACCATCTCAAATCCAGTTATCCTCAGAGCTGCAGTTCAGAGCAATGGTGCCACCTCTCTCCTAACAATGGCTTTGTAATATGGTCAACATCCAGCTTAAGTCCTGCTGATGGTGCAGTGGCCTCCTTCACACAGACATCTTGGGCTGCGCTACTCCAGGAATACCCATTCTCAGCAGGGGTGACAGAAATTGCTGCAGTAGGCGCCAAGCTTTGTGGCCAGGGACAACACCTAGGATTATTTCCAAACCACAAACTACGAGTCACAACATACATATACAAGGATTTGCAGGCATCCATCAGGGAAGCTGTAAACAAAACACTTGGTGACAAGACAGACACATGCTTTGTCCCTGCCAAATGAATTCTCGGGCCATACTGCAATGCCAAGCTCTGAAGCCAGAAGCCAGACTGGTAAGATGCTGTAGTCACCAAAATATTTAAGACTCATTTATTAAAGCAGCAGTCAGAGATGATCAGGGGGAAAAAACCCATCAACTAGGTCTAATGCATTATCAGTATGAACAGGCTAGCATGTCCTCTGGACCTTTGTGGGCAGAAATATAATTCACTGGTGATTAAAGCAACAAGCAAGCAGATGATCTTTGGCAACAAAGGTGGGAGGAAATAGGACAGCATTGAGAGAGGAAACACGGATCAGGAAAAAGCGCTGTACAATCAGTTAAGCAACAGACATTGTCCAGAGACTACAAGACAGATGTCCATCCTAACACTTCTCCAGACCTTCACAGCATTTTTTCCTCTCAGATGTTTCATTTTGCATTGCCCACTCTAGTTTCAGCTCTCCCAAGGAACAGAGCTCCCACTGCAGTCCTTTCCAGAACTTCTTCCACTACAGCCATCCCTTTCAAAGGTGTTTCCAGGAAGCTTCTCCATCTCCCAGCTGCAGTCCCTTATAGACAATTACTATCCACAGTTTTTAATAGCAGTAGCATTTGTGCATCAACCATGTACATACCAGTCACTCTATTAGCAAGGGGTGATCATCCCCAGAGAACTCTGGAGAGCAGGACAAGCCATGTGTGGCATATCTGCTTCTCAAGATAATAGATCCTACTTGGGTGGTTAGGCATGGCTGAGCTAGGGACAGCACAAAATGTGGCAGTACAGCCCCTGGCTCATTTGGACATCACTCATTATCTTGGGTCTACTTTTATTAAGGGATACAGGAATGAAGGGGAAGATGCACTCCTAAAAGCTGCAGGCTGTTGCGGTGCTCATATCATTTCCGTAAACAGTTTGGTAGAGCTTGAACAGTATTTATTTGAAAAAACAAAGGTATTGCTGAGATTGTCAGCATTCCTGTAGCACATTAATTATGGGTACCACACCAATCTAAATATACTGCTACCTACACTCCCTGACCAGAAAGGATCCCCTTTAGGAGCTCTTGGTAGGATGCCTCCGGGCATACAGCTCAGAACAGCACTGCCCTTTTTCACAGCAGTTCTCCACATTCTCAGTTTTCCATCCTCTCCTTAATTATTTTTATTATTATTTATTTATTATTCTTTTTAATACTAGTTACCAGTATTCCAGGCTACCCATTCCTTCAGGTGAATTTGTTTTCCAGAAAATGATTATATTTCTCACTTGTTTCTGATCTCTCTGATTTCCTTCCAAATATTTTTAGCCCTGACTGATAGGCATAACTCCTCTCAGTATAGCTTCATCTGCAACCTTAGCCTAGTATGTGCTATCTGTGGAGACCATTCAGGATGATATTAAATGAACTCAAACCCTTTAACATTTATGGTATTCACAGATCTCACACAGATCACTGACAGTCATTAGGTGGCACTACAGCTGACATTCTCAATTTCTGCTTAACTGAAAACTATATGCAGCTGGGCTATGGCAAAAACTAATAGTTAGTGATATGTAATATTAATGTCTGCACTGCAGAAATGCAAAACAGCATTTGCACGGTTTGGTGGCCTCCGGGCCAGACAGCACAACCACATACGCAGATACAGCCCCACTCAAGAAGGGGCTTACAATCCTTCACTGAGGGGTTCTTCCAAGTGCTGAGCATGTTACAGAAGTTGGGCCCCTCCATAAATCTCCAAAAAATTCAGATCTGAGGTGCACTATGCACAGGCAAAAAAACGACACCATATTTAAACTTCAACATGTTTACACATGGATGGAGAAGCCACAGAACTAATGCTGAATGGGAGAATGACATATCAGAGCTAGAGGAAAGGCTTAAGGAGATACAGCTGCTGTGACACTGTCACAGCGCCAGTGTTGTGGCATTTTTGGTGCAAGGCACAGACTGAAAAGGGAGACAATCCTGCCTCACATTTCAAAGTGTGAGGAAGAGGAAATGGGAGGAATATACCCAAATGGGCAAAGAGCTGCACAAACACATAGCACATGTCAAACACAGGTCAGGAAGCGTAGCAAGGACAAGGGCCAGCAAAAGGGGGTTTGCACGTGGGTATTGCCACAGGGTCACAAAGCTGTGTTGACAGACAACAGGCAAGAGGGCCTACAGCAACAAGAAAGAGAATTTGCAGTCTCCTCTGCATCCCAGTACAGGAGGTGGTTCAGAAATGGGGTCACTTTATTGATCATTTCCTGGAATACAGGTGCATATGGTTTGGTTGCCTTGGTAACAAGTTGCTATGCAACACAGATAGAGATTTACATTTTTCCTGTCATAATCTGAAAAACTCTGGGTGCACATAGCATGGACAAGCAAGGTAAGAGTAAAGCAACGTGAGGCAGTCTGTAATACATCCTTCTCGTCGTCTTCAAGTCTCAGGAGAGCATGCTGACATCCCAGCACTCGAGGGATGCCTTGTCCCAGGTGTGCTTTCCCTCACAAGTCCCTTTCCTGACACTTGCCTCCTTCCTGAGGGCCCAAGAGAGAAATCAGGAGATGCTTGGGGTATTCATCTGTGCAAGGACAGCAGAGCAACTCAAGAAAAAGGCACAACTGCATGTAAAAACAGAATTAGGCAACAGGTTTTCTTTCCTAGTTTTGTTGAGCAGTAGCTTTGTCTGTCCAGATCAGGAAGGACACTCAGCCACAACCTCTGTACACTGCACTTTCCAGTCTGCTTGGCCGTATAAACCTCTGAACAGCAATAATGGGGAATCTGGGGAACGCTTGTAAAACAGGGGTGTCCACAGAGGATACAGAGCTGCACAACTACCACAAAGCCCAGAGGTGAACATTCATGTTTTGGAAGTTCTTCTATAGATGCAAAGAGGCAGGCTCCTGTGGTAGTGATAGGCTCTCACAGGGCTGATGGAGCTGGCAAGGCAGAAAAAGCCCTCCATTTCTATCCCCGTGAAACAATGGTCAGAAAACAACGTTAAAATCAGCATTTCACATGTGAAGTGGCAGCCCCGAAGCTAAACAAAAATCATTAGCCAGGAGGGACATGGCCCAGCTTGAGCACTTACATAGATGTTACCCTGTTGGTAGCGCTGGTGCAGGTTAAGCAGGATGGCAGCTTCATGCAGATCTCCCAGCATGGACATGTCTTCTACCCCATCAACGCTGGTCTGGTGCATTGGCAAGACCTTTCCTCTGGAAAGGGAGGCCTTGGGGCACTGGAATACCTGGCAGAAGGAGAAGGACAAATAAGCTCATGACACCCAGGCACATGGTCTGATTTCCTGCCAGAAACATGCCCCTTTCCACAGCTTCATACTTCAGCACTGGAAAAGGAAATGAATAAGGCACAGGTCTGCTCCCTATTTTTATAGTCATTCTTCCGTTCCTGTTCTGACCAATTTGAGCGCTCTGGCCAGAAACCATACAGGACACTCCCTTCTTTTGCTACAGAGTCAATTTCTCATCTTCACTACTGACAGGGCCAGATCAATGCAAGGTTACCTGATTTGTACCAAAATCCCCTTAGCAGGAGCACTGCAGCAGCCTCCAGCTGCCCTAGGCTGGACAGGTATGACACCCTGCACTCACGACTGTGAATAATGATGGCAGCTGCTCCCAAGAGACTAGGAACAGTCTTTCACAAAAACATAGGTGGGATCACGTCTCTGACTGTGGGGAGGTTGAGGCAAAGCTTATTTGCATTCCAAGTTTGGCCCCGCACTCTCCATACAAGCAGCCAGAGAGTGTCTGGCAGAAGTTGTCATGTCAAGACCAAAGGACAGCAAAGCAGATAAGAAGCCAAATAAAGTAGTGACATCCTGTGTGCATGCTGGCAAGTATGTATATGATGCAGCTTTCAAAGTGTTTGTACAGTGACAAGTATTAACTTCTACCACTGCTCTGGGAAGTACCCACTTCTCTCTCCTCTTGACTCAATTGTTGCATCCTTCTTCCTGATAGATCCTCCTCCTCCTTGATAACCCACTCATCAGCTATCAGGTCATCTTCTTCACCCCCTTTCAACACAGCTGAGATTATGTGACTGTTCCCCTCCACCATAGCCACGTCCCAGCCCTCCTTTCCTCCTCCTCAAGCACGATGCTGGCATTTCACAAAAGTTATTTCAGTTGCTACCCACTCTTGGATTCAACCATGTTACATCTCCCACCCAGCAACCCAAGCTGTGCTAGATGTTAAGACCCAAGACAGACTTCATCCAGGCAGCCCAGAGAAGCAAATTGGCCCGCAGTAACCCTTCCAAAGAAACCTGAGCTTTCCCTTCCCTTCTGAGGTTCTGGTCTCTACCTCATTTCCATCCCTGCTTGTCAGCCCTCCCAGGTGCCAGCAAGAAACTGTCAGACTCCACAGAGAACAAACCATAATCTATAGCATTGATCTAACTGGTTTCTCCTGACTGCCTTCTTGGAGTCCTCAGGCTGCCGTAACTGCTCGGGAGAGGCCAGCCACGCAGCTGCAGGCTGAAGACAGAATGAGGTCACCCTGCCCCCTCCAGCGAGCCACCCTTGCGAGTCCCTTGCAGGGCGCTCACTGCAGCAGCGCATTGCAGGTGCCCAGCGAGCACCCCTTCCTAGCTGTGAGCCTGCACCCTTGCCAGTGTGGCAACAGAATAACCTGGCACAGGATGCCTCTATGAGACCCCCACGATGCCTGATAAAGCCTGCACAATCAGAACAGCAGCTCTGTTCCTGGAGGGAGCTGGGGAAGAGAAGCAGGCTCATTTCCCTAGATGTGTTTGCCCCAGGTCTGCCCAGTCACACCTAAAGTGACAAGGACTCTGTCTCTTCCACTGGGAGACTGCCTCACAGCTCAATTTTCTCGCCAGCCAGGAGGCTTTCAAAAATATATAGTTCATGTTCATGAACAGTGTAGAACGAAGCCCACTCCAGCACACAGGCTCTCTCCAGGTTTCTCTGGTTGTCTCTGCACCACTTCAGCACTTGGGTATCAGAGAGGTATGACTCTGCCAGCAGCAGGACCCCCACTCTGCAGGCATGGCCCAAAACACCCAACACATCCTCTTTTTTTTTTTTTTGTTCTCTTCAGAGCAGATGCTGCAGGCACTTCCACAAGAGAACTGAGGGAGCAGAAAGGGAGAACAGGACCACTAAATTCAGGGAAAGGTACAAGCTGCAGAGGCACAACATGAACCGGACTCCACCAGGAGCAAAACCACTAACAGCACTTTCAAACCATGAGGCAGAAAAGTACCCTGGCACTCTCTTCTCTGCTGACTTGGACAAATTTTGGAAGATGACAAGTCCAAAATGGTATGGCGTGATCTTTCCTTACATCTGCCTGGCACTTACTCATTTACCACTGCATTGTCAGCGCTTGTGGCCATTTGGGCCAGAAGAGAAACATTAAGAAAACATCTAGGAAAAAAGCTGAGTGGACAAGTGTCCCAAAAGGTACCAGGCAGTCAGCAGCACCTGTGCCAGGAGGCTGCTATGCGCGAAAAATAACTGTGTGATGGGTCAGAGTTTGTTCACTTGCTCTTGCAGACAACACAGGAGAAAATGAAACCATGAAGAGCAACAGGGACCCTAAATACACAAGTAAATGATTAGTTGGGATCAGAAAATCACCTGTCAAACCTGTCTTGAGCCACCTGATTTGGGTTATTCAGTCAACCCTCTCTAAAATACCCTGGTCCAAGATCCTCAAAGAGTTAAGCAGGTGCTCCAGCAGGACTGCAACAGAGATGGATTAGGAGCATTTGCTCTGGTACGCTCTGGACAAAAATACAACACAAGGTGAAACATAGTCCCTGGAAGAGCAGTCCAATGCCACACTGACACCCTAGTCAAGGCCAAGATGTCACCTGTCTGTCCCTGAGGCTGGGGAGGTTCACCAAATACCATTGCCCATCACCTAGCAGCTCACCCTTCCTCAGGCAGAGGCTGGGGTCTCTGGCTTTGGGAGGTGAGGTCTCTGTGCCTCTGAAGGCACTTGTGGCATGCAGGAGAGGTTTCGGGCCTTCCCTGGCACTGGGAGAAAGTTGACTTTTAACCTGTCCTCTGCCCTTCCAGTCTCTGTATCACCAACAGGCTGCAGGGATCATCCAGGCTCCTGCAGACAGACATGTGGTGGTATTTTGTTCCCAAGACTGTGTCGAAGGGGCTTTCCTCAAGGAGCTCTGAGGTTTGAGACACAAACATGACCCAGAGATGATGACCGTTCACCATTAGAGCTTGCAAGGTGCTGCACTGATCCAGGCCAGCCAGGTCCTTTCCCACCTACAGCCACACCAGTAAAGAGGCTCTTGTTACCCCACTGCTCACTTTTGCACCCCTCCAGCAATCTGCCAGGAGAGCAGTTTGAAGGAACATACTCCCCATCATCCTGCAGGTAACGGAAGCCAGGCTGGCTCCAGCAGCTTGCACTGCTGAGCTGAATATGATGGCTGATTTTGCCTGAAGCAAGTGAGAACACAGACAAACTGATCTCTCAGCAGAGCTGCCTCCAGAACATCCCTTTTCCAACAAGTTAATACTTAAACAGAAAGTTATAGGTGTTAATAAGAAGATGTTTACTATTTGGGAAGAAAACCCATCAGCTTTCAGTATAACTACAAACAGGCCATCAAATACCACACAGGCACCTCACAACACAGCCAAAGATTTCTACTTTCTCCCCAGTGATAAACTGATTTTGTCTCAGATTTAACCCATGGTCAGAACAAAATGACCAGGACTCTCTCCAAGCCCCTGCAATAGTCAGGAATAAAGCAAAGCCTGGCCAACAGACAAGACAGAACGAGGACTGCCAACCCTGCTCACCAGGCTGAGCAAAGGAGAAACGATTCCTTCTCAACCTCAAATCCATCCATTAATGCAACCCTGAGCACATGAACAAAGCTCCCACCTAGCATCTAAGTTACATTATCCACGACGCATTCGGCTGGTCTGCCTGGACTATGGTTTCCAATCTTGTGTTTCGTAAGCACCGGCTCCTCCCTTCCTCCCAGGAAGCCACATTTCTGATGGATTTGTTGCTTGAGGTGTTTTTAAGGAAGTGAAAACAAATGGCAAAAGCTCTGAAGCATGACTGGATTTCATACCTCAGAGCCGCAAGAGCTGCAGGA